CACCGTCGTCATCGTCGTCATCGTTCAACACCGTCATCACCATCATCGTTATCCTCATCTTCACCGTCGTCAGTGGATTTGCATCATCACCGCCATCATCGTCATCAGAATCATCATCATCATCATCATCACCATCATCGTCGTCCGCGTCGAGGTTACGTAAATTCGTACGTACGTATTGCCCCCCCATCGTCATCTTGATCGCCCCCGTCATCATCCTGCTCGTCCCCATCATCATTATCTTTCAAGCGGGTATCCCTATCGATCCCCGCGCGTTCCGCCCGCCCCCGCGCGCTCTGCCCGCACTTGCAGCGATGGCCTTGTCGGGTCGGGGGCGCGAAGGTTTCTAGCCAAGCGCCTCCCCCCTCTCCGTGGGCGGCGGGGAGTTTTTGCGGCCGGGCGGTCCTGGTGAATCCGCCGCTGTGGTATGAGAGTTTCGGAAGGACGGCTCTAGCGAAGACCCGCAACCCCCTTTCGTTCGTGTGCCGCGCCATGCGGATAGGCTGCAATGACGCTGTTTGGCAGCATGCGCCGCGCATGGGCCTCAGCGCAAGGAGCGACGATATGCGTCGCACACTCTTGCGCGCGCTGGCCCGGGGGATGCAAAAGCGCCCCCCCTTGCCCCCCCCCGAAGGCCGCCAAATGCCACCATCTCGGGCTCCGGAATCGAGGCGAGGACGGCGAACGGCAGTGCACGCTAGCGCGTGACTTTTTCAACTTTGCATCGTTGCTGTATCCAACACGGCACGGCGCTGGGCGAAGACATTATCATCGATTTGGCGCGCCACGATGGGCCTTGGACGGCCACTTGTTTGCAGGGGGAAAAGTTCGCCCGCAGCATCGAAGAGCGCCGGCCTTGCTTGGGGCGGCCAGTCGATGCCCTGGACGTGCTGCGCAAATGGAGGGGTCACGAGCGCGGTCGACACCGTTCCCGGTAGCGTAATTCGACCGCTGTTCGATTCGGGGGCCCCCAAACGGTGCGGTGACCACACCGTGCGGTGAGTCGGTAGGGTTTCGGGGTCACCGCACGGTTTTGGGACGCGGGTCGTTCTCCGAGGACGTCTCGGGCGACAGGGGCCTCCAAGGTCCCCAAAACCATGCGGTGACGGACCGTGCGGTGAGGTCTTGGGGGATTTCGAGGTCACCGCACCGTCCGTCACCGCACCGTTTCGGGACTCCAGATCGATTTCCCGCGCGAACACGTTCCGCCTAAGCTTGGGCAGGCGTTCCTGGAAGCTGGGGATTACGTGGAGACGCAGACGCGGGGCACCTGGGACAGAATCGACCAGTTGGACGAGTGGACCTTCGCGCACGAAATGCTGCGAAACTGTCAAGGCGCCAGGATCGTCGTCGATCAATCCAGGCATGCGCCCAGCCAAATGGGGGCCAAGTTCGAGACCGTGGGGGCCGTGCAAGGTAGCCCGCGACGGCGCCGCCGTCGCTGGCCGACGACAAGCAGGCCGCCCTTCCAGCCCCCCCCCACCCACCCACCCACCCACCCACCCTTCACCGCGCAACGCCCAGTCGGCGAGCCGAAGAGCTGCGAGAGAGGCGGGCCGCAGAGCGTTCCAGGCGCCGCCGCCCTGTCAGCACAGGGCGCGAACCACGGCGCCGCCGCCTGAGGCGCGCTTCGACCTTGTGGCGCGCCCCGCGCTGGCAACCGCCGCCCAACGCGCCCGAGCCGCCGCCGCCCGAATTGCCCACTGCTCCGACGGCCGAGGAGGCCGACAGAGAGCGGCATCAAGTAGCGCTCGAGCGAAACAACCAACCGCGCACCACGCCGCGCGCGCCCCCTGCACACAGGAAGAGTGGGACGCGTGGAGCCGTGGAGGATGGAACGATCGAGGCGGCGCAGGACCTCGGCCGAGGAGGCGCGGCCGTTGCGCGAGGACGCTTGCAACCCACGCAGCTGCAGGAAGAGTTTCGGGCCAGGCCCAGCAGAAGCTCGCAAGCGGCAGCGAGGCCCCCAGCCAAGTGGCAGCGTGAGGCTCCCCGCCAAGCGACAGCATCAGTGGTTCGGGGTCGGCGTCAAAGGCAGGCCGCCGCGTACCATCGCATTGCCAGCTCTGCCGGTCGAAGCCACTTGAAGCTACTGACGCGATTTGACACAGAGCCTGCGCGCGCAGCAGTTCTGGACCGCTCGACCCGTGCGAGGAACGCGACGGGCCATCAGCCTGCTTTCGGCGCGGCGCACCTGGGGGACCGCCCGTTGCTGGCCGCGGTCGTCGAGTGGCCACAAACGTAGCTTGCGTAACTGAACAACGCTTCGATCATCATTCATCAACCATCTCGTCATCACCATTTATAGATTGCCCATCCCATCATCACCACCAAGCATATCATCACCGTTACTGCCCGTGTTTTGTTTTGTCGGGGCGTCGCGTGCATGCACTCGCTTTGGGGACTTGGACATGAATGTGCACAGGTTTGCGGCGCGCACAGCCCTCCAGGCACGCACGCCTCGACAAGTCACGGGTGAAGTCTCTGACTTGGTTCATGTAGTTCGTTTTCTACCATTTGTTTTTCGTTTACGGGCCGCCATCCCGCTGACGCGGGGCGCTTTTGTCGCGGATCCCTTGCGCGGAACGCAACCGCGCGACCGCGCGCATCCGTTGGACCCCGCCACAGATTTCAGACCGCGACGGCGCGGATTGCCCCGCTAGGGGGGGGGGGATCCTTCTCCGCCCACGTGCGCGTGCAGCTGGCGGCGCTGTTCTGGCCCGTCCATTCTGCTCTGCCCCTGCGCCTTCCCGCCTCCCGCCCCTTTGCTGCTGTTCCCCTCCTCCTGGTCGGGTTGCTCGTCACCCCCTGCTCCCGCACACTCGTCTCCCTTCCGCCCCAACCTCCTGGACTCCGAGGTCGGAGCGGTTGGGGGGGCCGTCGGTTGGGTTTGTTTTTGAATTTTGTCTTGTTCCACAAAAACACCCCGCTCTCTTCCGCCGGCGCCAGCAGCCGCAGGTAGCATCTTACAACGCAGGGCACACGTCACCGCACGCATGTCACTACCCGCCAAGTGCCTACCCGCAAGCGTCCGACAAAAACACACGTCGAATACCCCGCGGTGGAGCCAGGCCAGTTGCGAGCAGTTCTCTCTCGAGCAGTGAAACGCTGCGTTTTGGATTGTTTGAAGGGGCGCCACAAAGTCGAAGCGCACAGGGTATTGATAAAGATCGAGCCTCAGCGGGGGCAGGTTTCTATCCTTATCCAGTGCGCCTCGGGCTTATGGGGAAGGAAGCCCGAGAGTCCAACCTACAGCTGACATGGACAGAAGTAATGCCCACAAAAACACGCTTGCCTAACCGGGGCAAGCGGCCAGGATGGCCATCGGCGCACGGCGTGGGCGCGTTGCGTCAGCGCGGCCAGCAGACGGCACCGTGGTGCAACAGGAGCGAGGGCAGCGGGACGTCCCAGGACCGACCATCTGCTGTCTCCGGCGAGGCAGACGTGTTCAGGGGCATCGACAGGCGGGGGGATTCGGCTCAGGGGGGATGCATTCGTCGTGAGCGAAGCGGGTCCTGGGGGAAACGGGACTCGAGGGTTTTCGCCGTTTTCGGGCTCTCGGGGCCTTCCACGAGCCCCAGGATTGTCAGACGACGGTTCAGGATGAAGAATTGGCCTTGTGGGGAGGCCCCAGGCCAAATACAGCGACCCACAATCGTCCATTCATCGCCGACAGGGGCCCGACAGCCCCAACCTGCCCAGGAACGTGCGGGCGTGCTATCGGGGGCGTATCGCTGTCTCGCCGATTCCAGGTCGATGGTCCTCCTCCATGCCAGTCCCCCCTATCGTTGCCCCTCACGTGTGGCAATCCAGCTGCCCTATCGGGCCACCCCAGCGCGCACAACGACAGCGACGAAGAAACTCTGCCACAACCCGCGATCTGACAGACCACGGAGAGAAGGCGTAAAGTCTTGTTCCGAGTTTGTCCGCAGCAGCGCTCGCAGGCGGAGGAATTGACGTGGCGTCACGGGAAACACTCCAGACGTGGTGCAAACGCAAATCGCGGGATGATGTGGCGATGCCTTGCCCATGTAGCCCAGAATCCGACGGATTGCGTGGCACGAAGAGCCTTGCAGTGGGCCCCAAACCAGAGCACCAAACTACAGGGTTGGAGACACCACGGCGAGTATTGCAACGGTAGTGCGACGGGACACGCAAATTTCGACACATCTTGGACCCACAGGACGGCAGGAACACACAGCACGACACCGTCGGCGTCACGCAGCACAGCATCACCGCATCAACGGTCCCCGGTGGCTCCAGCGACACTTGAGCACGGTTGAAAAGTGAAGAGACTACGGCACCACGCGCTTCCAGATGGGCACCGGGACACGCGCCTCGGCGTCTGTGCCAGGACCAGAGCCTAGCTCTTTCGCTCGCTCCACGCGTTTCTCGTCCTCGTGCTATTGTTCTCTTGTTGTATTCATCTGCTCCCCAACACCTCCCTCTTCAGCAGGCGCACGTGGATGGGCATGGCCCTAAACGTTTAGTGAAGCGAACGTTTGGTCGAATGTGGCATTTGGTTTGTCAGCTTCCCTATCGGAGCATTGCAGGCACGATGTTGGCCCGCATCTTGCCAGAAGCAGCTGCATATTCTCTTCCACTGTCTTCCATCCAGGGCCCATTTCGATTCGATGCGACGTCGTTGTCGACGGTCTCGATCAGCGTCGATCTGAATTCTCCGCGGCCCGATGCCTGCATGGCAACGCTGCTTCTCGTGGCGCGGGCGATTCCAGCAGATTTCCACGCCGCGTCGACCCGATCCGATGCAACGGTCCGACGGCCTAATGGATAAGGCGCTGGTCTTCGGAACCAGAGATTGCAGGCTCGAGTCCTGCCAGGGTCACAGGGCAGCGCGGGCGGGCAGCGCGGAGCCAGCGGCAGCAGCAGGGCCGGCCGCCGAAATGCCCGGTCGCAGCCAGTGTGTTTCCTGCCCGCGAGTGCCTCGGCTGCGACGCTGGGCCCTCGTCGCCGACGGGTCGTGCCCCCGATCGGCGGAGGCTCCGTCGCCACGGGCTACCTGGACTCGGCCCTCTTCGCCGTGTGCTCCCAGTACCAGGCCAGCGCCGCCCGCCCCTCGCCTCGGCGGCCTCCCCCCCGGGGGCCAGACCGACACGAGGCCTCGGGAGCGGAAGATTAGGGGAGGAGGAGGAGGAGGAGGAGGAGGAGGAGGAGGAGGAGGAGACTGACTGACTGACTGACTAGCTCATGGAATCCCTCGTCAGCTTAGCCTCGACGCACCGCCCCATGAGGAGGCAACCCCCCGCCCAGAGGCATTCGGCCTCGAGGGGGGCCTCCGAGGGGGCTGAGACCTACCTTTCCCACTGGAGCCCCTACCGCGCCCACGAGGCGCCTGTCGAGGGAGAGTTAACGTCGGGACAGAAAGAGGACGGGGAGGGGGTCTCGGCGGGAGATGGCCTGCAGCCTGTAAGGCCCTAAATCTCTCGCTCCGACGCCAATCGAATCCCGTCGGACTCACCAAAGAATTCTGGGCCGCGGGCGTCACCAACTCGGAACCCGGGTTCCTCACTGAAAAGATGCATTGGCCAGGCCCACGATACCCAACCTCTTCGCCGTTATCGGCCTGACTCCCCGATGTAGATAGACGTGGGCCAGCCGTCGGCGAAGCACTCAGATCTCGTTGATCATCCTCGAGAGCTGGCGGTGCAGCGGGCCTGGGGGGGCTGCACCTGGCTTGTGGATCGCCTTCATGTCTGCCATGGCTTCGGCCAGCAGCATTGACAGCTTCGGGCCGTTCGCGTGAGAGAGCTCCACTGCGTACATGATCATCCCCTTGTCGGTGCCCTTCGCGTCCTCCTGCATGTCGTCGCTGCTGCTCTTGCCCTTGCCCTTGCTCGGCTTGCCCCTGTGTGGCTTCCAACGGAAGTATGGTACCAGGGCCGCCACCTGCTGGGGAGTGAAGCGCATGATCACGTCCTTCCACAGGCTCGCAAAGCCATCGGTCAGCTCCTGCTTGGTAAGGTTGCCCTGCGTGCCCCACCACTTCACCGACGCTGCGAAGACCGCCACGTGCGGCGGCCCCCTGCTCTCGTAGTCGACCTGCTCCTCGTTTTTGGCCTTCTCGCGCAGGGCGGTGGACTGCGCGTCGTACGCCTTGCCCGTCGCCTCTTGCTGCTCGGACAGGCCGCCCTTCTTCGCCTCGAACTTTTTGAACACGACGGCGGCCAACTCTTGGATCTCGCGGGAATCCGCTAATACGAGGCGCCCCATCGTCTTCACTGTCTCCTTCAAGCTCTTGGTGCCGCCGTTGCCCCTGTCGTCGTCGCTGCGCCCTTTCTTGTGTGGGGGAGCGCCATTCGTCTCTGCCGTCGGGAGCGCCAGCCAAGGCGGGGTGCCCTCCAGGGCCATACTGCCGCTGACGCCGACGATCCGACAGAGGGCGAGGTCGCTGAGGAAGCACCGTGCGTGGCAGATGCTGAACCAGATGGCTACAGAGATGATCCAGATCGGCGTGTTCGACCCCACAAACTCTGCAAGCGAGGCTACCAGGAGGAACCAGAGGGTGGAACTTCCGAGCCCCATCAGGTCGACAAAATCCCCGAACCAGCGAGCGAGCAAGATGACGTCCAGCCACCACTCGAGAGCTGAGAACCGTACGGCAAACCACACACACGTTAGTAGGTGACATAACGTGTCCAGCATTACGGACATGATGTTTAGCACGAAGATGGTTAAGTAGATCCCGTTTCGTACGAACGACCATCTCGCACCTACTGCCATCCTCCACCACCCACTCACACTGCCATTCACGTGGGACCTCAGGGACTGGTGGAGGAACCTCTCGTGGGGGCTGGTAGCCTGGCGGAGGAACTTGCGCTCGGACCTGGGCCGAACGAATCACTGAGAAATCTATATTGACGAAGTCTAGGGCAACCTCAGGGTCCGCGAACCTGCAGGGGAACTCGGAGAGCTCTTCCATCACCATGGCCTCCCCACCCAAGATCTTCCGGGCCTCCCGAAAGTCCTCCTGGAGACGACGAGCCCACGGAGACGCGTGCTTTGTCAGTCGATCAGCGACCACAGGCCTGTAACGGTCAAACTCCAGCGTCGGCAAACGACCGAACAGTGCGCACAGGAGCTGCTGGTGACTATCAGGAAAAACGTGCCATCTGCTGGTGCCAGCTCAGGCGCCGCACGAGCAGCTCTCTTGCACTCGGCGCCAATTTCCAATATTGAAGCACTCGGGCATTCGACCAGGTCGTCGTATGTACGCCCTCATGCGAAGTACCCCGTCCCTGCAATGGCACCCGACACAATCGGGCAAGATGAGCGTCCAGGTCCTTATTTTGTTGGGGAGTCACCATCATCGCCTCCAGCCCACTTAATAACGCATTCTGGACCAGCCCAATAAGAATAGTACGAGTCCATCTCCAGGGGCACTTGAGGGACCAGAAACCTCCCATGGAGTAGAACCCTGACGACGCCGCCTCTTTACGACGAGCAACTTCTGGCCCAGTAGTCCCCGAGAGAGAGACGTAAGGCCCAAGGTACCGCGTAGATTCATGCAATTCACTTCCAAGAATGGAAACGGCGTGATGGCGAAGCCAACGTTTGACCTTAATGAATCCTACTCCCGAGACGTGAAACAGCGAAACCTGTTTGCTGCGGTTGGCCCCGAATCCCACCTCCTCCAACTCCTCCTCCAGAATCTCATCCGGCATACGCATGCACTTCAGGAACTCCGAGATCCTCTGGCAACGAGCAGCAACCATGCAATTCCAAATGTCATCAGCATATTTGAAGAGGCTCAAGTTGGCACGCATTTCCTTCCATTCTGCTATAAGCACACGTGGCGTACTGTGGGCCTCTCGATAGTTCCAGGAGAAAATCGGCCTGCTAAACGTGCCCCTGAACAGCGTGACCACGAAGGGGTCCCCCATGGTGCCTCCCTCACCAGGTTGGATCCACAGGGAGGGGGTCCTTCAGATGTGGGCAGGCAGATGCGCGACTCGTGATATCTTTGCTGCGCGAGCGGCACGTCCAGCTCACTGGCGACGTGCATGTCTACCGTAGCATCCAGCTCCTCATGAGAACCTGACGCGAACGCGTTGCTCATGTCCTTCAGACTGTCCGAGAACGTGTGGCACGAATGCCGCAGGCGCCACGCCACCACCTGAGCCGCCATAATCGCTCCCTCCCGTCGCCGATGTTTGATGAAGCCGTAGTCACCCACGTCCGCTGGCACCTTCAGCATATCTGCGTAGAAGCACTTCCCGATGGGGTCGAGGACGTGCACCACCCGCTTGCCCTTGACGCCTGGCGCGCCACGCTTCCGCAATCCGGCCGCCGTGTTGTGGTGCCAGTGGCTGGGGGTCCGTGAGGCTCGGCGTATCATACGAAAACCTCCCAGCATCGCCTCCGTAAAGCTCGCCATGTCAGGAATGCTTGCATCAGCCCCCACACCCCAGCGTCCCCGTACGTATCGCTTCTCGGGGTGGAAGCAGAACTGCCACAGCTCCACTGGAGGGGAACGATCAGGTACTGCCCGACGTCGTCCTGCACGTTGTACCGCCCACGAGACCCGCCTGATGTCCGCTCGAGCCCGTTCCTCCATCTCAACGGTCAGGTCAGGCAGCGCATCCGTCGACTCGATCAGCACTGGAGTTGCCACCTCCGTAGCCGACATGCCACCCTCTTTGCCTGCCTGACGCCATGCCGTAAGCCACTCCTCCCGCGTAGGTTGAGCCACCCGTGCCGCACGTCCGTCCCGCTTCTTCGGTCCAAACCGACACCTTCCTGTTTCTCGAGAAAGACGCATGGCCAGCGCCAGTTTGCGGGAATTCCAGGCTGTCTCGATCTCTTCTTCCATGTATCGCTTCCTCGCTGCTCGTTCTTGTCGTCGATGATGATGCAGGCGGTAAGCCACCGCCCGCAGCTTCTCCTGAATCTCCTCTAGCCTCGCCGTCGTCTCTGGTGTAGACGTTGAGCCATCCTCCGCCGCCGTCATCCTCCGATGCGTTGCCCCCGTCGGTCGGTGCCCTCTGCCCCCCGATGGCCCGACGGGCAGGGGGGGTGAGCAGCGCGTGCCGACGGGGTCCGTATCACCTGTCGCCACCCCAGCCAGTGCCTCCCGAAGTGCCGCCCGCCGACGGAGAAGGTCGCGTCGGAGTTCTGCATCTCCTCGCTGCTGAGGCGGCCGTCCTGGTCGAAACATCTGTTGTCCCGCCTCAATGAGCACCCGATTCATGTAATCAAAGAAGGAGTCAGGTACACCGCACCGAAGCATATCCGTCCACTGCGGGTCCTCCTGCGACAGTCGGTCCTCGACCAGCCGTAGGAAACCGCGCTTCAAGTCGCCCTCGCCACGCAGCGCGTCCATGATTTTGCCCCTGTCCCACTCCAGCTTCGGGGCCCGCTGGATCTGCTCCGAGAAACGTGGGAGGTGGACCTGCAGCATGATCGGAATATGATCTTGCGGCGGCGGGCCCCTAAAAGCCTGTAGTTGCGCCCCCCAGTCCTCTGAGAGTGTGACACTTCTGAATTGCGTCCGCCATCCCGAAGGGGAAGAACGCGTAGTCGATCATCGAGCTCCCGCCCTTCGTGCCGAAGTACGTGGGGTAGACTCCATATCTCGCATTCGCCGCCAGCAAGTGGTGCTTTGCCGCCTGTATCCGAAGGGTTTCACCTGTTCCGTACCGTCGTGCTTCTCGTGTCGCTGCCTCCTTTGCCACCACCCCATCGTCGACGTACTGCCACTTCGCGGACTGGCGGGTGAGACCGATGCCGTCATTCGCGTCCGTGAACACGATGGGGCAGCAGCGCACAGGCAGGCTGCTCAGCACCTCATCCAGCCACTTGCCGAGAATACGCGTCGTCTCCAGGTAGTGGGGGACCTCAGCTGACCACCTCGGCTGGGGCGAGAAGTAGAGCACCACTAGACAGAAGTCTTGGCAACTGCGCTTCACTCTTACTGCCAATGCACGTCCTCCCGCCCTTGTCGGACTCGCCCACACCCGAACCAGATGGCCAAGCCGATAGGCCCGATGAAAAATCACTGCACAACCAGTACTACTATAATTGTAATATCCAGGACTGAATTCGCTTTCGATGACCAACTGCCCTTGAACTCGGCGCTGCAGGGGTTCCTCCGCTTTGCGGTCACATGCCTGCGTCCCCCCCAGCAGGACAAAGTCGAACGACCTGCACGCCAAGACAATCTCCTCGAGCCGATCCCCGCGGGCGCTCTGAGGGTTCCAGCCGAGCACCTTCGTACTGCCCAGCCACGGCTCCCATGCGCAGAGGCAAAGCGAGGAAGCCCCCAGCTGTGGTTGCTGCGAAAAAAGTGTGGCCTGCTGCCATCTGAATCGCTCGAGCAACCGTGGCAGCTAGGAGGAGGAGGAGGAGGAGGAGGAGGAGGAGGAGGAGGAGGAGGAGGAGGAGGAGGAGGGAGGGAGGGAGGGATGGAGGGAGGGAGGGTGAGAGGTTGTCGTCGAACGTCAGAAGAAGCGTCTCGCTGTTCTCGCACTCTGTGGGGGTCCTGGGGGGTGGGCCGGGTGGCGCAAACGACCGCTTCCGCCACCAGCCGCCCAGAACCTTGCAAGGGGAAACGAATCGGGAGCTTTGAGACGGGGGTCAATGCAAACGGGGGTCAGCCAGAGCGCCCGATCTTGCAGGATCATGCAGGGCCAGGGTCGCATCGACCCGGATTTGGGATGCAGGATTCTGACGGATCTTGCAGAATCCTTCGCATTGACCCGGGCTTGGGTGCAGGATCTTGCAGGATTTGCATGATTCTGCAAGGCCTGACTGACTGGGGTTTGGATTGATCCGGGTCAGAAGATCCCCGAACGAAGAGAGGTGAGCAGCGCCGCGAATGTATCTCATCACGAGCGCCTGCTCAAGACAACGAAACTTTGAGCGCTGCCCCTTGCAGCGAGGGGGGCTCGAACAATTACCCGAAAGGGCTGGCGCCAGCCCAGGCTGGGGGGAAGAGGAGCAGGATCGCAGTGGAGCCAGGGCGAAGTGCCTGGGCACAGCGCACAGAAGAAAGCACTGACAGGCAGAGCTAGAACTCCGTGGACTTGAGCGGAGCCGCATAGTAAGGACGGGCAACCTTCCCAAGGGTACCCTTGCATCCTTGCCTCCTCGGTTCATCCTTCGCCGCTTTCGCTGGCCGCGCCCCGCTCGAAAAGCTTCGAAATGGACGTCCAAGGCCCTTGCATACTTATCGCACACCCTTACTATATTGGATGACTGTACGGTGCAGAGAACGCCAACCTGCTTGCAAGCAACGGGCCGCCGGCCAGGGGGAAGACGGGGGACCGAAAAAGCAGGGGAGAATGCCGGGGCGGGGGCGACCCACGGCGACGAGGCCCGAAGCCAAGCCCCTGCGCTGCGACTGCACGGAAGACGCGCACACGGAGAGCAATTGGAGAGGGACAGGAGTGACACGAGTTGTTCCCAGTCGGTATCGTTTAACCGACCCCCATCCCCATCCCCATCCCCTTCGAGACCCCCACCAAATTACCACCCCAGTTGGGGATACACCAATTTCGAAACCCGAAGGGAACGGCCTATATCCCCATCTAGGGGGGTAAATCGGCCAGTGGGGCCCAGGCCACGCTGCTGGGGATGGGTATCGGTTAAACGGTACTCAAAGACGCACACACGGAGAGCAGCTGGAGACGAACAGGAGTGACACGAGCTGCTCCCCGTTGGCCGCGGGAACCAAGGAGAAAAGGAGCAAGCGACCGGGACTTTGGCGGGGCGCGGCCGGCCTGGGCGGACAGGTTGACGCACAAGAAGGCTGCTGCGCAGAGGAGGGCCGGTCCCTAGATCTACGTCGTGGAACCTGTCTGGGGCCTAGGCCCGCCATGGCCAGAAAAGCCCGTGCGTTCCTTAGCATGCGTTCCTGAATGATAGCACGATGACTGTAGGGGAGGAGGGAGGGAGGAAAAGGAGGAGGAGGAGGAGGAGGAGGAGGAGGAGGAGGGAGGGAGGGAGGGGAGAGGAAAGAGGAGGGAGCAGCGATGCGGGAGGGAGGGAGCGAGGGAGTGATGCGAGGCTCCCCCCCTCCGCGACGGCGCCCGAGAAAAAAGCGAGGCGGGGGGGGCCCTCTCCCCGCCCGCCCGCCCCCCGCCGCCGCAGAACGACATGCAGCGCTTCCTGCAGATAGGAGGGCCTCAGCCACGCGTGGGCCCAGACCCCCTCGCGCTGTGAGAAAAAAAGAGTCACGACGGAAGGCTTCTCGCCATATTTAAGTCGGGCCTGTCCCTCTACAGGAGGAACATTCAAAGATAGTGAAAAATCATATAGGTACAATTTTTCTAGTATGTTTTGACAATTTGGGAGTACGTTTTGAGTATTTCTCATTCTTCGTCGAAAACCGGCCTGTAGGGGGACAAGCCCGACTTAACGCTGAATTCGGCCTCCAGGGGCCCTCACTGGGCCTCGGGACCCTCAACAAAACGATTCGGGATGAAAAACTGGTCCCCCGGAAGTGTCACGCCATGAAAATATCACAACGTCGGGGGTCTGGGGAGGGGGGGGGAGAGGGGGAGGGCTTCCCTGAAGCACGCCCGCTTCTCAGGAGGTGCGGGCCTTGTCTACATGTGCAAGTGTGGGGCCGGCGCCGGCGCCTGCTAAGAGGCAGCCTCCTTCTCAGAAGCGTTCCCCCCTCCCCCCCCCGGCCCCTGGTGCGCGCCGCCAAGAGCCCCCGCGCGGCGGCCCCGCCTCGGCGAAGCGGGTCGCGCGCCCTGCTCGGGTGCAGAGGAGGCAGAGCGGGGGGGGTGACGACGGGGGGAAGGCTCAGAAGAGGAAGGGGTACCGATGTCGGAAAGAGCGCGTTCTGTCGCTGCAGGCAAACAATCGGGGGGAGTCACTGGGGGGGGTCCAACCCGTTCCCACCCCCCCCTCTCGAAAACCAGGGGGGGTCACTATGGGTTCCGACCCCCCCCTCCCGCCCCCCAGTCTATCATAAAAAAGGGGGGGGGCCACTACCCATTCGAACCCCTCGGGGCCCCCCCCCTCCTGGAAAACCGGGGGGGTCACTACCGGTTCGAACCCCCCCCCCCTCTCCCCCCCTCCCCCTCGCCGCAACGACTCCCCCTCCTCTCCCACTCGGGATGGGGGACTGGTGGGGACAGTGGTTGGGACGGTGGTGAAGATGGTGGTGGGGAGTGGGGACAGTGGGAAGAGTGGGACCGTGGTGGGGACAGTGGTGGGAGCAGTGGGGGCAGTGCGACAGTGGTAGGGGGCACTGGCGGGGACTGGGGACAGTGGTGGGGACAGTGGGACAGTGGAGGTGGCGGTGGGGCGCGCGCCACGCACGTCGCGTGTTTGGTCATGGGGCGATGGTCTTCTGACGTTCGGGGGCGGCAAAGAGGGGGGTGATGACTATGGGGGGTGGATATCATGGCGGGGGCTATGATATTTCCCCAGATTTCATGGCGCCTCTCCTTATTTCATTACGTCCCTGGCCCCCCCGCTGGGCCGCGCTCATGCCGCCGGTCATGATTTGCACCCCCCCTCTTGGGCACCCCCCTCTTGGCCGCTCTCGAGATGTGCAGGCAGATCGGAGCGTCGTGGGCAGAATGACGGCGCCCTCGGAGAAATCGAAATGGGCGGCGCGGGGGGTGCCGCACTCGTTGTCTGAAAGGTGCGGGCACTTTCGGGTGCGGGAGGTCGCTGGCGCAGTTGGAATCCGTGGGCCGTATAAGGACCCTCTTGGACCGTCCTGGGGCCTTCTTTGTGCCCATGCTTGGCAGTCTTGGAGTTCACTGGCCTCTGGATAAGTCAAGCGAGCCGGCCCGAGAGCGCCCAAGAGCGCCCAGAAATCGCCAGAGAGGCGGCGTCAGACTACTGCGCAACAAGGGTTCTCCTTGTTGGTCAGCTTGTGACTTGGGCGCGGCCAGCACCGATGGCCCCTCCAATTCGCTGCTCCAGCTCATGCACTTGAACCCTGCAGTTGCAAGTCATCTTCAGTCGGACTCCATACGTCCTCTCCGAAAGTCAGCGTCGCGCTTCTGCTTACCTGACGCGCGCGCGTGCACAAATGCGCCATGCAGAAGCAGAGCCGCAGTTTGTGAAAATGCCAATCAAACCCGCACCCAGGTAAAGCGTCTGGGATATGGCGAATATCCTCGTACGTTTTACGAGCGCAGCATGCGAATCATGGTTCTTCAGTAGCGAAGCCTTCCGTTTGATCACTCTGCATTCTGTAACGATATTCGCCCATCTCGCCACCGTGCTTGGGTCATGAGCCAGAGGCGTTTCGAATGCTGTGGGGCTTCTTGTGCTGCCTCGTTAGGGCTTCTTCGGGGCGCCTCGAGGGCCTCTTGGAGGCCTCTGGGGAACCCTTGGGGGCCTGGAGGCGGACCCAGGGGCAATCTTGGGGCGGAGGGCTCCGGTTGGCAGGTGGGGCTCCTTTTCTTGGGACCGCACTGGGGGCTAAGCCCTCGAAGGGGCGGGGCTTTCTTGGTGCGACCTTGGGAGCCACGTTGTCCGTGCTGGGCGCTCCTCCAACCGAACGATATAGCATACACTCTGATGCAGAGAGAAACCCACTCAGAGAATCTGAGATGTTCCATTCTGCTGGCCGCTTGGACCCCCAGGGCCTCCCAGACGGCACAAGAGCCCCCCCACACCAAGAGAGCGCAAGCACGGGCCTCTTGAGACCATTTCAGAGCAAGTTCGAGCTGCAGACCCCCGGCCACACTCCCGAAAGCCCCTTGAACAAGTTACGGGGAGACCGGGGATTCTCGGGAGCGCCTGAGAGCGCTTTGCAGCGTGCACGAGTGTCCGTGGTTCGGGGATCTTCGTTTCTTCCATCGTGTTTTGGACAAGGGGCACGTGCGTGCCCAAGCCCACGCAAAGAGCAACGGGGGTCCGCCGAGGGGGTTGCCACAGTTTTGCGATTAGACAAAATGTTGAGAAGCACCCACGTGGGGATAAAACGGCAGCGTTCAGAGCAAAATTAGCAAAATTGGAAAACTACCTTGGAGCGAAAAACACTGATGCGTTTCCCTAGCAGCTATGAGCAACCGCATGGCCAGCACGCCTGGTTGTTGGTCAGCGTGGGCGTGGGAGCTCTGATTGTGAGAGGAGGGGCTTGAGGAGAAATTCGATAGGGTTTGAGGACATTCCACTCAGTACCTGCGGCATGGTGGGGGAGTCGTTCGCAGACGCTGACATCTGGACGGGCAAGTGTTACCAAGTGCGCCACGGGTGGTTGAAGGAATGTTTATTGTACCAGCGGTGGTACTCGAAAGCCCTGCACTCATGACCACTGGTCCTTCTCGCCCATGCAGGCGTGACCGCTGTAACCACGATCTCTTCTCGGGCGGTCGACCGTTCCATCCGTTGGGAAGTCATGGTACTTCCCCTCGATGATAATCATAAGTTTCATGCCAGCAATGTCGGAAGCTATCGATCGCGGTTATTGGCTTATTCAGCCTTTCTGGTCATTGTTGTCCTCGGTTATACATCATGTTCGATGAATCATGGCACCCATGCACATTTACACAGCTGGACCCGATTCGGCCAGGTCACCAGCAACGTGGCTTGGCTTCGGTTTTCCGTAACATAAATGGTAATAGTTGTGATTGCAGGTCGGCAAGTGTGTTGGCACATGATGCAAGCAGCGCGCACACGCTTCAGCATATTTGCCCTATATGTTCAATCATCAGCTGGGCCAAACGTAGAACGCCCGCTTGGCGTAAGAACGCGCGCATGACATGCAAGCGCAAATATGCACATTGTGAAGTAATGGTGGCAGTAGAGAGCATTGTGCTGAGACCCATGTCTCCGCTCCTCCCTGTGCCACTCCTATTCCTCCATTCATTCATTCTCTTCCTCATTCGCAGACTCCCCATGCTATTCCTCGTTTTCTACTGCCGCCTCCTCCCTGGTTCGCAGGAATTGGGCTTGGCACTATGGTGTCTGTTTTCTACCGTGACCTGACGAAGCTGATCATGTCCAGAGACGTTGCCGATGCAACAAGGAGGGATGGGAATTAGGCAGAGGAAGCATTCACGTGTTTCATCCACGAGGAGGCCTCAATATGTCAACACGCGAGTTACATGTACTGAATAGTCATCTGTCGCCCATCTCCCCATGAGGACAGCGGATGGGGAGATGCGTGGGGGCCAGGAGTTCGAGGAGAGCGTGACGAAAGTCAGTACGTTCGTTGCTGCTTCTGGCCCCTGAACCCTCATTCCTCATATTCTTCATTCCTGCCTCCATCCTCTTCTTTTGCTGCTTATCCCTCCCTCTTCCCCCCCCCTTCCTCCAAGAATTTCTCCGCCCTACATTCTTCTTCCTCCCTCACCCGAATGCGGCGCGTCTTCTCATGTGCTCGCTGCTCTCTTCCTCGTCCCGCCTCCCTTATCCCAGTCCCCCGAACGTCGGGATTTGTTCACAACGCGGACCCAGTAGGTCTCGACTCCTCCCCCGGGTACCTGTTTTTTGCTGTGCATCCCGAGCCGCTGCTCTACGGAAGCCAGGCCAGGCAAAGGGCTCCCAGAGACCGAGCATCGGCAAAAGCTTGTCCGCCCCTGTGAGCCCGTCCCAGGGAACGCGCTCTCGCCGTCACGAATTTCTCGAGGGTGCTCCGGCCGTGGCGACGCGAGGCCGCCCAGTGTACCAAAAAAGCTGGAACGCGTGGACCCCCTGGTCTCGGTCCCCCCTCTTGGGCGCGCTGTGCAAGCTCCGCCCCGGCGGCAGCGGCGCCGCGAGGGCACGGAGCACTGGCAGTTCCGAGTTCGGTCGGTTCTGCTTGAGGTTTCACCGCCTCCCCCTTAGCTCCGCTTTCGGCTTGGGGGTTCCTCGGGCCCAGGGTCTGCCGTATCTTCGGCGGCCTTCTGTACACCTGGGGTTTCTTCGGTCCCTCCTCGCACCGTCCTCGGCCGGCCATCTTGCTCCCCGCGGGTTGCCTCGAACCTGGCGGCTCGCGGCGTCGGTGGGATGTCGAGATCCCCAGGGGAGGAGAGTCGGATCACCCCAGGTAAAAGACGGGACAGGAGGAGGAGGCGACGGGACGAGACAAGGGAGAGAGGAAGGCGGAGGCGAGAAAGGAGAAGCGAGCAACGGTAGAAGAGGACGTAGGAGCTTGAGAACGAGCATGGGCAGCGACCGTGCGCAACATTTTCTACCGCGCGCGCCACCCCGTGCTCCCCTCCTAATTACGCCTGCGCGCCCTCCTGCTGCTGGCCCTCTCTCTCCCGCGCTGCGCCGCTTCGTCGGTCGCGCGACGCGTCGTAGCCGCCGTCGCCGTCTCGCCCGCCGCCGTCGCCGTCGTCCCTGGCGGCTGCCAATTTGTTCGTTGCCCGTTGCATCCCACCGCTTGCTGACTGGCGTCTGACTGTCCTCGACCACTTGGCGCCCGCGAAGTGAAACAAAAACGGTGTCGTTGCCTGGACCTCGCGCCCCTCCGCGGGGCGCGCGCGAGGCCAACCCGGAATCTTGGAACCCCCGCCGCCCCGTGCCGCCCCCGAACCTGGCGCGGGCAGGCCGGAGGCATGCCGCCCAAGGTCGGGCCTGCGCACACGCGGTCGGAGGGAGGATCACCGTGCCGCGCCGTCTGCACACGGGCGGCGCGCAGTCGATGCACTGCTGCGCGCAGGGCCACGCGGCGCACTCGGCGGCCAGCCGCGGCCTCGTCGGTCGCGGCGGCCGCCGCGACCAGCGCGCGCCCGGGATGGGCTGCCCGGGGAGGCCTTCGGGTGCTGGGCAGCCTCGACCCGCGAGGCGGCCACCGCGAGCGAGTCTGGCAGCGGCCTGCCCTGGGAGATTCGGCCACGCGCAGAGGGGAGTAGGGGAAGGGGGAAAAGCCTTTTTAGAAGCCTCCCTGCTTTTTAGAAGGCGCGGTCCTTTTGCCATAGATGTAAAACCCGCGCCATCTAAGAGGCAGCCTGCGTCTGAAAAGCCCCCCCCCCCCTCCCCCTACGGTCGAATGGTAAACACCGGTTTGATGGTATATACACCAGGGAAATGAAGTGTTGTTTGCTGTTTTGTAAAATTGGTTGGTTCCCCTGCTACGTTCTCTAAAGCGTGAGGACATTTGACTCGTCGCAGAGAGGCATCGTTCAGGCGTCTTAGAGGCTTCTAAGAGGCCTCAAAGAAGCTTATCAGAGGCCTCGCAAGAAACCTCGGGGAGGTTTCTTAGAGGCCTCCCAGAGGCCTCTTAGAACCCAACAAGCTTCTTAGAGGCGTCTTAGAAGCCTCTACGAGACTTCTCAGATGTTTTTGAGAGGCCTCCGCAAGGTCTTACGAGGCTTCTAAAAAGTTCCGAACAAGCTGTTCAGAGGCTTCTAAGAGGCTTCTCCTTTAAGAAACCTTTAAGAAACCAGTTATCGGCTTCTACAAGGCCTCTCGCGACCGTGTAAGAAGCCTCTCAGAAGCCTCTACGAGGTTTCTAAGAGGTTTCTTAGAGGTTTTCAGAAGCCTCTCGGAGGCTTCTAAGAGGCTTCCAAGACACTTTGTAAAAAGCTATTAAGAAACCT